AAAAAGGAGGCCCTGGATGGGGACGGTGCACCGTGGAAGGCACGGCTGGCACCACCTGGCCGCCATGGAGATGGCTGGATTTTTCTTCATCACCATCGATGGCACCAACCATAGCTTTAAAAAGGCTGGAAATAAATGTAGAGATTGTAGAGGTTTATTGGTGAATATGCAATATATATATATATATATATCATGCCTTTATAATATAGACGCTTCAGTTCGTTTCTAGGTTGGGAATATCGAAGGAGAATAACCACAAGATGGTGGCCCCAGTTGCGTTTGCTAGTTTTTTTCTTAAACATGACTGCTTTTGATATGATATAACTACCATAAATCCGTTAAGTGAACCTACTGATAAATACCAACTTAGCCAACGCACGTATATAGCTAACGAACTCGGGCACCACCTCTGTGTGGGGAATATGATATGGAACATGGGTGCAGAACTTAAGGGAACTTATATAAAAAAATACCCTCTGGTAAACTAACATAGCCATGTGGAAAATCACCATCTTTAATAGGTAAATCAACTATAAATGGGCCATGTTCAATAGCTATGTCAAATTACCAGAGGGTAAAACCAATGGAAATTGAGGTTTGCCTAGTAGAGGAGAGCCCTTATGGAAATCTATGGCGTGGGTGCATGAACGGATGATCAACACATGCAAAAACAACGTGATCATGTGTTTCCTGTGAATCTCCCTCAATCCATTGGCAAACCCAAATCAGCGATACGAAGGGATAATGACAGCGTACAGTGGATCAACATCCTCAATCAAACACCATTGTTTGAGATGATCAATGGAGGCATAAGCAGGGGAGTTGGATTGCAAAAGGCATCAAAAGGTCTATTAGTTAACCAGGGTGAGAATGAGAATCATGTTTGCGAAGTCAATTCATTCAGTCCCATCTTGCTTCACTTCAACAAATATGCGTCATCCATGGGACCACTCTTGTGTGGTGAATGTGGAGCATCAACCCCCGAAATTTCATCACCTCCAAATGTTGCTGCCTCCCTCCACGGAAGCAACCTACGTGGTTCCGCTAGGCTACACACTCAAAAAGTTTAACTATGTGTTTTATTGTGTTTTTCGTATTCTCTCACCGTCCTGTCCCCAGCCATAACCAAGATAGCCGAGGATCCAATAAATTCTGCCATCACAAACATCAAAAACACCCCACAAATGGTGCGAAAGCGCCGCCCCGTTGATGCCGCTGCTTTCGGCTGCATCCGCCGAGTGTGCAAGGGACGCTCCATGGTGGGGTGTTGACCCCGCAAGTCGCTAGTCAACATAGATCTTCTGGACCTGAAAACCATCAATATTATCAATATTTTTTCAAGATTCAATTGGCCTGAATCAAACGGGCCATGTCTTGCAAATGATTCCAGTTTTGACAAACCATAATTGGCGGTAGACTTGTCCCATCTCAAACGGAAAAGCATGGGGGAATGACCCCAAGTACCCAATGGTCAGGCACCAATTGATTGAGGAATTTTCTATGTTCAGTCTGGGAATGGGACGAATTTGGTGCCAAGAGGGGCCAAGATGTCTTTCCTACGTCCAAGTTGCGTGAGCTCCCGGGTTTTCCATTTTGAGTCATCCCCAAACATCGGGAAATCACCATATGCCATGTGCTCTTCAGCACCTTGTAACATCTTCCGGTGCTGGTATCCCACTGTGAGCCAAGATCGGTGCCATCCACGGTTGGGCGGGGATCTGGGGTTTTGATATCATTGCAGTACCATCATATATCCAAAATAAACATGTGCGCAAACATGTGGAAAACGTATTCAAACGAAGGAATATGTGGGTTTTCTAGATGCGGAAGTAACTGCGTACCAAATAAAGATCGCACGTTACAACAAGAGATAGGCAAATAATACTGTTGTCAATGGGGACATTGAAAGCAAAAGTACGTCATATCATTATATAATATACTGCATTCCAAATGCACATTGCATATGTGCAAACAAATAAAAGTTCAAATGCCACATACGAAACAAGCATGGGCTACTTCCTTTACCGCAACAAGTGCCAACCCGAAGACCTATCTCTGCGGCTTGTTGCCCAGTACCAGCTGGGCCTAACCATCTCGAAAATGGTATGCACTGAAACAAAAGTACCCCGGAATCACCTTACATGAACTTAGATGTGGTAAACCCAATAAACAATAAACCATCAACAACTGAAATAGATGTGTATTCACTATTCACCAGCAACAATTGGCATTTATCATTGGGTCTATGTACCACATTGCAAGTATATCGTTTATCCACATGTCTTGGTCCTTGAACAAAAGGCTTTGTCTCAAAATGGGAGGGATACTAATGATGAATCAAAGGGTTTGCGGCGGTTTGGGGGGGAAGTTGGAGTCGGTCCCATCTTTTTTCAAAACACAACAGGAAGCAGCAAGGTAGCATACTCTCTTGACCAAAAATCCATCCCCAAATGTGCGAGTTTTGGTGGCCACAACTCTGGTTCAATCACCCTCTTTTGGGCCCGAAGCTGAAGTTCTCTGGCTGCAACACTGGCGCATTGCTGCGGCCTACACCCAGCCATATCTCTCTGCCACCGTTGGGAAGGGTTAAGAATGTAGTGGTATCAGCGCTGGCATCGAGAGAGGCAAGCCGCTCTTCAGCCTATACAGCAACAAAATCGCCAGAGTTCGCGGTCCGGTGTCTGCCGGGGCATCAAACGACACCACCGCGACACCGCCCGCATCTAAGTTGGATCAAAGATTTTGGCACATCTGGGGCACCCAAAAACTTAGCAGTTATGCATTTGCGTGAGCCATCCTGCAACTGATACAATATCAAATCGAAAACATCCGTCAGTGATCAATGGGACCGGCCTGCAGAATCTGACATGCCATTGGATGTTTTGGGTCCCCCTGATGTGAAACCTCCTCTTCCCATCTTCCAGGGATCCCAGAGTCGCAGGATTATTAGGCTTTCCTGATTAGAGAAGCCTTTTCTGCAAGAAAGCCGCAGGAAATGGCTGCAAATGTCTTGCGTACATTCTGAATTGAATAATGTGATGGCGTCAGTGCGAGGGAGTGCAAGGTCGTACCCGCTTTGGTATTTCATGGTTCGTAAACCATCATAAACCCCACTACCCAGTTTGGTATATCTATCGTAAATCCAATTCTTAAGCCTATTAAGCAGCTTTTTTCAACTTGGCAACTCCAAACGGGGGCACCACCATCATCATACTACATATTACAGTAAGCAAGTCCTGACGGTGGTCCCAAAAAGGGACATTCAGAATTCCCTAAATCTCTAAAAGAAGACGGTTGTTGTTGGGTTGCTTTGGCTATGTAAGTTGCGAAGCCCAATGATGCACCGCCTTTTTCGAAGATTACGGCATATTTTTGTTTGCAACAAATAGTCCAGATATCTCCTTAAATTAGGTCCAAGATATCTCCATGCTTTGATTATTTGGCTAACCTCATGACCGTTTGTCAATGGTTATTCCCATGATATTCCAATAATTAATCATGATATTCCCATGATTATTCCAATGATTATTCCCATTATTATTTGGTTATTCCTATTATTTCAGCGTTTCAGCAACTGCGCGATTTCACCGCATCCGAACGCAGCGTTTCATCTGCGCCCACGTCCACGAACCCCGGGTCGAGACATTGCCAAATCCTCCCGGCAAAGCTTGGCCCAAGATGTTCAGACAACCCCTGGGAGAGTGGGAAAGGAACATGCTTTCCTGAAAAAAACAACTCATTGAATACATTATCCAATACATGATGATTATATATATATATAAACAATATGTATACACAATAAAAAATATAATATATAATTATATATATATGTATAAAATTAATTTACTATATACATGGATCTACATGGCATATTATGGGTCAATTCTCCTTCGGTAAAGCCAACTCCTATCCCGTCCTCCAACCAATCTGGGACATCGGATGCTTCCGGGTCATCTTTCTTCGCCTATCGCAGCATGGCGCGGAAGGAATATCGACTGGACACGTGGAAGTTTCAGTCACTCAAACGACGAAGCAAACATGCCCACTTCATTCAATCCTAATCTATCTTCTATGATCTTATATGCTACATCGACATGTGCAATCCGAATTTATACTTGAAGCCCCAAGTCATTTCGAAACCCCTTTGACGAGGCAAGAATTCTGACTAGGATTTTCCACTGGTGATTTTCAACTTACGTGGGGGCCGTAGGTAATCCCAATCCTCAGGCACCATGTCGCACCTCCTGCATTGCACGCACGATGCTCTTCAGAGATGTTTCATCTTGGCCACGGCAGAGTGGCATCTGGAAATCCATTTGAATATTCAAATCATTTCTACAGGTCTAGATATGTCTAGATCTGTGCGCAGTTAAAAGTTATAAGTTATATAAGCATATATCATATATCCATGTCTGTACATTTTTGTATATACAGTACAAGATGTACAAGTGTATGATAAATGTAGAATTACCAATGTATGTGTGTATGTCATGTCATTTGTGGTTTATCTCTCTTTCGTATGGGTGAACAACTGAGGCAAACGTCCCTGATCGGATTCTTGAAAATTGTGATATTGTTAAACATAACAAGGAGTGATATTGTGAAAAAAAACAAGGAGTGATATATATATATAATATAATATTATATTATATAATTGATATATTTTAATGTCGCAAAAATAGCTGGAAAAAACACATCCAAAATGGATCCAAATGGTTTCTATCTCCTGGTGTGTTCACCCCGTTTGATCTCACCTGCTCGGCTGGGACGATCCGCGGAATAGATGATTTGGGCATGGATTTGCCCAGAAAAACATGTGCCTAATTTTGCATGAAGACCTGATAAGGATTGGTAAGGATTGATGAGTTCTAAGTACAGCTACTTCCCTTGGTAGCTTTCGAAGATTCAATTCCACAAGAACACACCGTCAAAAACCGACCACCCTCAACTTCTACCCCCTACAGGCACGAATTCCACTTAATAAAATCACAACGACTGCAGCACTTGGGAGTACCCTTCAATAATCTTCAATAATTTTCAGCAAGTATGGACAACTCACCATTTTTAGCCTATTTTTCAGGGGATTTCCCCAACCAGATTTCCATACCGGGTAACCACCCTTTAAGCCAACAGCTTTTACGGTTGAAAAACCAAGCAGCTGTTGCCCACAAAGGATGTAGCCCGGCCCTTGTTGCCGATACGGCCTGTCCTGTGACGTCGACATCCCATGGGGAGACACCCGAAATCCCATGGCGGCAAGGCGTCACCATCCGTCACCCCTCCAGGCCTGCCAATGCGATGCACATAGGTTTCACCTCAATCGTTGACATATTGGAAAGACATTGGCGCATCACAGCTTTGGGATATCCAAGTTGGATACCAGCAATTCATACATCTCAGGCTTACCAGTTCCTCCCGTAAAACTTCTTTTGTATCATCAAATGTGGTGAAGAACACCATCACCTACTTGGGGTGATCATCATAAGGATCCCAGTGGATGGCCCCGGGAGCTGGAGTCTATATGAATCTACGGCCCCCAAGGGAACTCATACCATACCCGATCTTACCATCTGTTGTCCCTCCCAAAAGCTTAGAAATTGGGCTTTTTATAAAACATCATAAGGGCTTAATGGTGACCACCGGGCCGCCATCGTTGGGCAAATCGAAGTTCACGATGTGCTCAATGCCCGGCACGTCCAAGCCACGCGCCGCCACGTCTGTGGCCTAAAGAAAGACCCGATCTTCCGAGTCGTGATAGCGAAAAAATATGGGGATTCACCACTTGGGGATATAATATGGGCATATAGCTGATATAGATAGCATAAAAAAGGCACATAGACTGATATAGTATAACAGTATAACTGCTATAAATATTTATAAGTGTAGTATAACGATATCTGGATATGAAGCTGATATTGTGTTTTAGTAGGATTTCACCGTTTTTTTTTTTAAGAGGTTGCTATCTTACAGTAATGAATAGGTTGGCTATGGCCACCAAGCAACAAAAAACATGGGCTTGAAACATATCAAAACATATCCTCTGCATAAGCGGGTCTGAACCTGCTTATATGAAAAAAAACATTACAAGGCAATAAGGGGGTGACAAGTGGATTGACCAAGCACAAAAAAAACACGATACAACCCATGTGGCAGTACAACTGGTTGAAAGGTCCGTGTGGGTCAAGTTGGTTTTGATATTTTTTGGGGAGGCCACATGCTATGCGGCTATGCGGGTCCTTCTGTGAAAAGAGGAGTTGGCTTTAGCATGCTACACGTGATTTTACAAACCACACTAGGTGAAAATTATGTCAGCTATCAGTGGCTATCAGTGGTCAATAGTTGGGTCTTTACCAATTCCCAACTAAGGGACATCCAGCGACGCTGGCTCTGCGTGATCCACATGTTATGAAGTTGGGATCTTCATCCCAATGAAGGATTATTTCTAAAAATGGTTGAAACCACCAAAGTGAAGATGTTCTCGTCTCTTCAGAAACATTCAAAAAAACAGCACCTTCAAAAAAGCTGGAACAATTTGTAGACCCATGTCCTTTTGTGGAATGGTCCAATGTGCTGTTCTATCTACGTGAGGCTAATATTAGCATGTCGGAACGTGGAGGAAAGTGTCTCTATGCATCAAAGCAATTGGGACAAAATTAAGTTAGACATGCAATACCGTTTTGCGCAAAAAATATGAATACTATACTGCATAAGACGATCCGAGAATCTGTGACAATCAGCAACCGTCTATTAGACAATAATAGAAGACATATGTAAATAGATATATATATATATCTAAATGCATATGTAAATCACTGTAAATCATACTCTATAGTACTCTATAATACTCTATACATATTACTATATTACTCTATCTGTTTGCCAAACATCTGCATTGTGCACAGGTAATGTCAGTAATTACCGGAATTGCTTGGGGGCTTACACACAAAAAATGGTAATATAACGAAATTTGATTTGAACTATATATCAATTGGACATATTATTCATGAACATTGGTACCCTCCTCAACACAAGACTTGGTCGCAGTTCGTCCTGGCACTGCTTTGTCCGAGACACCACAAGCACGCTGATGCGACCCGACTTCACATCGGAGAGCGCACGGTTGCGCTGGGTTTGCACCGTTCCTGACGGGTGCAACCCTGGCATCAACCGGGCATTACTGGTACTCACAAATTAGCCATGGGGCCGGGGCTATGCCTTAAGCAATGAACATGTGATTCAACATTACTGGTCATAGCTTTCAGTCAAACCAATGTCATGTTCTCTAGGTCATTGAATGGGAGCTTGGTTCCAATAAGCGGGGTGATTCTTGCAGAGTGGCACAGGAAATCCTATGTTTTTCACTGGGCAATTGCATCTTTTTACTTCTCTCGAAGCAATTGATCTACTAAGGTTGCTTGATCATTGCCGCGCTATAAAGGATACCTACCGGTATATAAACATGTACATTTATGTATTGCATATACTGTGAAATTGGTTGTAAAAATATGTGCGATCTGCAAATGTTCTATTCGTATTTTGAATAAACTTATACTATATTTGTACCTGCTATATATATTTATATACACACTGCATACAAAATGTACATTTCCAGAAGCTAGATTTGCGTAACGAGCATGTTATGTTTGCTCAGCACTGGCCCCATGATTTCTTCATGTGTGCAATGTTCAAGTTTGCTTTCTCAACCAAGTGAAATACATCTTTGTCTGCGGTGGTGCTGAGGCTTCAATAAGTTCGTTCCATGCATTGACACTATATACTATATATACACTATTTTGTTGGACAACATAATTTCCAGGCATCATATTGGCAAGTTGTTTGACAGCTTTGCCACAGGTGCCTCTTGCACTTTCAATCCAGGTACACTGTGCATATCAATAAGTCGCTGTGGGTAGCTCCATCCATTGCAAAACACGCCCTTGTTCTTAGCATGTTATGAGCCACTCAATAACACAACAAAAAAACTCAATAGACAATATACATCCCCAAAAAGTTAGGCCAGCGCCCCCAGGTGGTTCTAGATGATATTCATCAAGTATATATATATATAGTCACATAGTCCCATTTCTATCTTTTTGGGGTTGCTAAATCTCTGAACATACTTACACAACCTCAACCAACCAGGAGTCCTCCATGCATGGAAGCCGATCGGATCCCGCGTGATTGGAGCTGCTGAGTGATATCGTCCACCATGTTCTGGCGAAGTCGTAGCAGCAGTTTCGAGAAAAAAAACAGGAACCCTTTATATTTGATGATGAATGGTGAAAGCCATGGTTCCTGTGGATTGTCCCTTAAACCAATCCACAGATTTAAGCTTTAAAATCGGGCAAAAGAATGGGACTATGATTTTCATGGCTACATATGGCAAAATTTCCTTGAACGAATACTTGCTGGTTGGATGGGAAATACATGCCGATAAAAATGGTGAGAACTAACCCAGTAGTAGTTGATGGACATAAAGAACACTGGTGACATTTATGATGATAATCGCAGATTGTGCTTACATTAGCGTATAACTAAATAAATATATATATATAATCTTATATAATATACAGAGCTTAAAATAAGGTTGCAGTACATTGAGCACACAAGGAATCGCAAGAATATGTGAGGTACTCACGCGATGGTATGGATACCAGGACGCTGGCAGCACCAATGCCCGCCTCATCGAAAGCCTTCCCTCAACTGATTGGATCTGATGTTTCCAAATTACCATGGTTGGTAGTTTCAACTTTTCAACAAATCCAAAAACAAGTGAGTAGGCACGTCTCAATAACTTAAGACACCAGCCAGTATCAGTCATGCCGTTGTGGACAAAAACAAAAAAAAACGGAGGTCAGGAACCGACCCCTCCGGGGAACCGTCCCCCTCCGGGGAACCGTCCCCCTCCGGGGAACATTCTGATATTTGCCAGGAACTGGTTCATATCGAAACTTCTTGGGTCAGTCAAACAGATTTCAAGGGATCATAAGCCACTTCTGGCCGAATTCTAAGAGATTTATCTCTAGTTCACGAATCTGCAAAAATAGCTGAAACATCATACGGCCAGCGGGGATGCTTCCCCACCATTCACCGTCGTTCCAGTGATGCTGCCGTCACGACCGTCGCCTTGGTGTTGGCAAACACGATGGTCTTCTTTGGGTTTCCATCATCTTCACAGACCTGGCGCGGAGCATGCGGAGAGCCAAGATGATCCCATGAAATCTGGTGATTTTTGGGGGGGAAAACCAATCCGAATTCACTAGTGAATCATCATTGTCCCACAAAAAATTGATTTATCATTTTCAAACAAACCCACTAATATTGTCTTTGAAAGAGTTCAGGCTAGTCTGTTGGGGCATATCTATGGTATCCTAGGGTTCTATGACATAAACACCAGTAGTCCAATAGTAGTGGTTTCTGAACTGGGTCCACCTTCTGAAAAAGCGGGTAGGAAGACTTGCCTCGACCACTACGCAATGCATAGAAACCAATTGAGCCATGAAGAATACCCCATTTTCCCATCCCACAGAGGACTGGTTGGTTGGCGGATATTCCTACTATGTGTTGTAATAATCCCAAACCAGAGTAGCAATGTGGATTATTACTACTATACTGTTACCTAATATTAAACTGCAACTAGTATAGCTCCCCTATGACAACAAGTCTACAGTGTCTGTGCGGAAGCTGAGAGGGTACCTGTTGCAAAATTTCCCGTGCTGAGGAGCTTCACTAGCCAAGCAACGACTTGATTTCGGAAGGCAACGTGGTGACAATGTAGTTAGCTAAGTTGGTTCTGACCTAAGGCAACTACTGTTGATGGGAAATAGATCTATAGTCCAAGCTTATCTAAGTGATTTATTTCGCCATGGCGAGTGCTGTGTATTCACCAACTTCTGACCGGATCATTTTCCCAGGACCACCATCTATGGGGGATTGCCCATTGCCATGATTACAGAAGGCTATTGCAATGTATTGCATATCAAAGGGAATATAGGGAATATGTTCAGTCCAAAATTGGGCATACCCCAGAAACATGGCTTAACTATGGATGATATATGGCTAACATTCCCCAATCGTGGCTGATTCATAGGGGTCCCGTCTCGACGTCCCTGGGCCTCGTTCAGAACGTCACACAATTTATCAAACTTGCCACTCCAAGATACCTGGCGGCTGGAGGGAAAAAATGCTGAATGATTATATATATTATATATATATCATGATATATAAACAAATAATTCTGCATAATATGATGATTCCATACCCCAAACATGTTTAAGAAGGTACTTGGATGTACTTGAATCCATTGTATATGTGTATATATATATATGTTATTATGATTGATTGGGTACGTACAAATGTAACACATGCAAATATGCAAAACGCATTGGAATCATGCGTATGTATCATCACTATACGTGCATGGACATGGGCAACAGAAATACATGTAAATGTAAAGAAATGGAAAATATTCTGGAATATGTGTATACATATGTTTGATATATACCTTCATCTAAGGCTGCATGAAAAAAACAAGCTAGCAAATCAAGCTTCACCTAGATACCAGTTGACCTCAAACATTGACATTGGACTTGCAATCATCTGCCACTTTCTTTGTCATTTGAGGTGCGATTAACAATTATTGATGGCTGCTTCATCCTGGGTTTACATTGTTCCGGAATTGGTTAGATCCCCGTCCACCTATATCCTATATCCCCATTCATTATCCCCATTTGAATTTTCCATGTTAATAATCCCAACTGTGGGGATAATAATGGGATATCAATTCCAAAAAACTAACAAAGGAATAGTTGGAATTATGATAAATCACCGACCATAAATAGGGGGTACCTTTACCGTTTCCAGTCATGGGTGGTTTATGACATTGTTTTAGCCACATTATTATTAGGTATAGTTGGAATTATGATACCTTAACTTTAGAATTTTGGTATTTATAACCTAGGTTTAGTTGATATAAATCTATTCTAAGAGATTTTCTGGAGAACTTAAAGGGTTCTCGCGAAGAAGACGGGCGGCCACTGGAATCAGCCACCTGCTCGAAGAATTGTTCGACGTCAGTTGCTGCATGACCCACCTGGCTAAACGGCGCAGTTCAAGACGTGGGATGGTGAGTACCCACCATGGTAAGCTAACATAGCTATGGAAAATCATCATTTTTTAAAGCTAAATCAACTATTAATTTAACAAATTACCAGAGGGTATTCGTGGGATATTTTTCGCGGAGATATTATATGAATATCATGAGATATCCCTGTTATTGATTCTATCAGTATATATATATATAATGCATTTTGAATACATCTAGACGGTTATATATATATATGATGTGTAATACATAAAGATAGGGATAAATGATTTTAGAATAGGTATCTATAGTCGTATCTATTTATACTATGTATCTCATATATAGATATTGATGACTAAATAAGATATGAAATGACAAACTATAAAACAATTGTACTTACCACAAATGCATGGGTCAAATGCATGGGTTACGTATTATTCCTGGGGTCGAAACGTACCCGCAAAAGTTACAGGGACCGTGTATAAATATATATATATATATATAGTATATTATAATATCACCAAAAATGGCCTTCATCAGTTATATATCTATAAATATGTGTGCGTGATCCATATTTCAAATCATTACTGGGATATCTCATCAGGTCCTCTGATGATATCTCACAAAATGTGGCTTTTTGAATTTTCAACATCTCAAAACTATACGAAGCATCATAAATCACAGGTATCGCGGTCTCAGCCTGGCCAACTGAGATGCCATAGTACGCTGGATCCAAGAAATCCAAAGCCATGTCCTGCATCTCCTGCCAAACATGCCGTGAACATGCGAGAAACCTGGAAGACACACCATGAATTTCCCTTGTTTCAATAAATTGATTGGAACTGCCCAGACGAGTTTTGTATCGGAAAACTCGGTGTTTGGATGGGCCAAGAGTCAAAACAGAAGACTTTCCAAGATGCTGGATGATTTGGGATGAACATCCAAAGTGCCAGCTATGTTTGAATGTCTTGTCCCGCAACCCAAGCTTTCCCAGTTTTGATTCCTTACATTGGTCATCCTAAAATGTGCGAGCGATTGAAGCACAAGAGGGTCCTTTGCAAAATTACAATCATTCCGAGAAAAAAAGTGCATCAACTATAGTACGTCTACTTACTATCACCACACAAAGGGGATAGCGCATGGCGAGAGGCAACCCTTTTCTATCCACATTTTACCCTCCTAAGTTGACCGGAGGGTGTTGTTTCTTATCTACGCTAATATTTATCCCAACTGTTATGTACATTCAATGTAGTCTGAAAAGAAGAATGTATGATAAAGAAAAAGAAAAAACACAAATGGACATTCTCAACCATAGTATCATCCCCACTTAGGCTGCCCTGGTCACAAAAGTAAATCCCTTCGATTTCGACCCCGGCCCTTGGGTCATTTCTCCTGCGGGAAGGTCGCTGAAAACATCATGGTCTGCCGTCCGCCCTGGCTGTCGGCAAACATCGACCGCATCCAATTTCTGGTGCGTGCTTCTTTGAGCGAAACCATCCAAGAAATCTTCAGAATTCAGAATGGGAATACCCTTGTCACGAAAAACATTTATTCATCGAACTGTATACATATATAATACACACTATGTGTGCATATGCAGGGTGGAAACGTATGTATATTACATGCATGTTCCCTAATGTTCCTTTCATGTACTAATTTCATGTACCGTACTACGATCACTTTGTGGCTTGAGGGCTTGAGGGCTTGAGGGCTGATTGGAACTCACCAACGGCTCGGCCTCACCAGGCTCCGGCATGTTGTAGGTCTCAATGATATTTCCTCGGCTGCGGCGTTGCGGATGGCATATCAGCTCTGAAGCTATCGGAGCCTATCAGCAGCGTGCATCCAATCTCTTGGGGAAAAAACGTGATCCAGCATGACATACCATCAAATCATGTATCGATATGTATCGATGGAGTTGCGCATTTCAAAAACACACCATTGAAAACCTACCGAGGGGCCACCCTTAAGCTGTATGAATCCTTTAGGGATTTCCCTCCAGGATCATCTGTTGAACTTCCAAGGGGCGAATCTGAGGCTCAAAGCCCATGTCCAGCATTCGATCCGCCTCATCCAAGACCAAAAACCTGGAGCGAACCACGATGAACCACGTTGAGATTCGGTCATCTCACATAGAAGTGGGAAACAAAACAACATGTGGGTCATGACTATAGGTAGATATTACCCAGTTTCATGGTGGATTTTCACAGACATGTTTGATTCCCAGAATGAACCGGGACCTAGGAACGTACAGCCTGCTGGGACAATCCAACTGAAGTCAGGATGGTGGATCACTTTTTGGTGCAAAAAAAAGCCAAGATAAGTTGGGTGCCCAGCCATCAAGGACCAACAAGGACCACCTTGATCGTTTTGACATAGCAAGGGCTACGGGGAGGCTGATCCAATGAGAAATCCCAAGATGGGATGGTGAAAGTCCATGGGGCCATTGCTCATGCAACACATTGGGGTTAATATGGGTTAACCCTGGACACTATTAACCCATAATCACTGGAACATTGGGTTAATATGGGTTAATAGTAAGCAATCACTGGACATATTCACTGTGGAATGCATGATCAAGTCAGATGACCATATCAAAGTCTATCCAGGCCGCTTGTGGGATGACCATATCAAAGGACAAAGTGACTTCCAGCATTAAATACGGTCACTGTATGTCACTGTCAAATTCTCTTTTTGTGTGCTTCAAGTTCGCAATTTTTACGCACCGGGTTGATGTTCAAAAGAAACATTCTATTCCGCGGCACCTACCCTGTATTTTAAACTTCAACCAACTTCAAAGGAAAAAGGACATGTCTTATCTTCTTGACCCTCCGGAATCAAACTTGACAATGGTTTTTTTCTCCACAAAATGGGGTTTTCCATGGTTTTCCAAGGTTTTCCCATTGAAAGCTCCAGGGAATGTTCAAAAGCCATGTTTAACTACCGGCTCCGGTGTCCTCAAGGATCATGCCCAGGAGCTTCACTTCCTCCATGCTAATGACCTCCCAAGGCTTTTTCGCCAAAATCACTGGGGAATCGACGCGTTGTCACAATGATCCATGCGAATCATCATTAAATGGGGACAACTCATGATCTAAACCACTGGATTCATCTGGATTCGGGGTTTTTCGGTATATCATGTCATTTTCTTTGCGGAACAAAACCCACATGTGTCCGGGAACAGCACTCCATGACCAAAAAAAGAATGCCCAGTGCATCCGAGCAGCGCCACGCGACAAGAAGTCGTCCAAGCGGCCCGGGGCGCACACCACAATTTCCTGAGGGTCCAAGTGACATCCCCAACTCAATGGCCACCCCCTTTAGCAACAAAAATAATATGGGGGTACATGTGACATTCTTCCACAAGTACTGACAGTATATAAATACAATATAATATAATGTGTATATATATATAAATAACAATATACGTGTATATATATATATATATTATATAACTCTCTCTGTCTCTCTCTCAATCCGCCTTCAGACCAAGTCTGCCTCAGCCTGAGGGGCGAGACACTTACAGTATACTTCTATAGGATTCTATGTATCTATACTAACCGCTATCTAATTCCAAAATCCCATCCACATTCCATTGACTAAAGCGCCCAGGAGCGATTCCAGCGGCAATGTTTCGCAACTGGCCCACCGCATCTTCACCTGTAGCTGCAGCAGGTCATGACAAAAAAATGTTTCCATAGTCATGGGGGTTGCCCCAATAGCTGGATGGAATCCCAAAATAGAACGGATACTTTAGGGGGACCCACATGACTTAGGAAACCTCCATATCAGCGTTCAGATCCACATATTTTTAGGGAGATCGAATCCTTATGAAAAAAACAACTCAAAGATTGAAGAAAATGACCGGAACACCCTGTTTGACTTCCAAATATAGGGGGTTTTCCATGGTTTTCCTGTTTTTTCTCTCGCCTAATACCGGAGTGAACACTATTTTGACTGGTCAAACCGGTCAAACGATGAATCCCTCCATGTTTGTGGTCAAGACCTTCCAGAACCGCCATAAAATCCCATCATCTTCTCATGTGCATGATCTACTTGGATCTACTTGGTGGTTACAACCTGAAAACTATGAAAGTCAGTTGGGACTCTCTTCCTGTTGCTTACATCCCCATTAGATAAACCTATTATAAACTCATTCTATCATTGGGGCTGTGTCCTGGGGTTCCCATGTCCCTGCGGCCAGGCACCGCCGTAAATGGCTTGAACACGCGCAGGGCTACGAAAGGTGAGGCGCTTGGCCTCCTGGGTGATCTGTTGGCAAAGCTCACCTCGCAGATCAACGGATTTTTTTTCCTCGAAAATCCCTGGAAAATCCAGAAGAATATCTGGAGATTAAATAAGGAAAGATCCATCATCCGGAATATTCTGGAATATTTTGGAAAGATCTGGAAATTGTATCTGGTAAAATGTTGGAAACAAATGGAAGCTGAAGAAAAACCATTCAAAATCGATCAAAATTGAATTTAGTTGTGTTGAACTGGTGGCGTTAGGGAATTTTTCCGATGGTTTGTTGGATTTTGAGCATGCAATCCTTTGAGCTTGATATAATGATTGGCCGAACTCAATTCTCCTTCTTCTATCCAATGTCAGGGAGTAACCAAACCCTTTAATTTTCAAGTTTGTGGTTTGTTTGTATCTCGGGACCCTCAGGTCTTTCAACATCTATTATCACCATTTTTTGGAAGAGAAATCTGATTGCAGCTTTCTCGTGCAGTTGGAGTTCAAACCCTTGAAACTTTAAACATCTTGAAACATACCTTACATGTCACTACTCAGATTACTCATGGGTAGCTGGGTAAATCAAGCCCCCTCTTCATATCATATACAACTTGGCATCCCCAAAAGTCCTCAAAAGATCGAAACCAGGGGATTGCCATATCTCCTACGGTGCTCAATCCCCATTCTTGATGGCAAACCCGTATGTTTGACGATTCAACCCCCTTTTTTCGTAGTTTCCGCAATGCTTACCATAAAACGTGGAGGTGTTCCATGGCCGTGTTGAACTAACAAAGGGAAAGCCTTGTAGAGGTTTCGATGATCGAGGCGCGTGTGGGAGCCAAAACCACGCAGCTGGGAGCAACCGCTCCTTCCTTCACTTCCTGGCGTGAACTGCAAGGTAATCAAATGTTCCCTGAAGTTAGACAGTGGATTGACGGTAAGTATAGCACCTGAGAACAAGCTGGAAGCCTTAAAAAGTGGGATAAATATGGATTTATGATTTATATGTAATATGTACATATATATATATATATGAAAACAACTATATAATATATAATCAATATATATATATATAGAAATAAATAATAAATAAACAAATAAATAAATAAAAATATATATAAATAAATAAATAATCAATAAATAAATGTGATGCCTTTTCCAAGCCAGAATGATTCCTGCCATGTTAATATTTCAGCCCTGGCAAGCCTTTGGACCCGCTTGAAGTGCTGCAGTGATGATAGGAACCTCACAGTTTGGGCTGGGTCCTAGCAGCTTGGAACACCTGCATGGTAATCTGAAACCATCAAACACATTCGAATTAGTGGATGTTCCATCTCAAATCATCTCTTTGAATCCAGTTAGCAATTGAGCTGTAGCATGCTATTGCCATCCAAATGCGATAAAATGTCTATAGCCAGGAAAGTATCGGAGACAGTTAAAACAAATGGCATGATGCCGCAAATTGAATAAGTTGGCCAATGATACCCCATGCAAGCTATGGAAACCTGTTATTCAAATAGGGAAAAGCATGAAGAAACCGATGCCATCTTTTGATTCTATATTATATATATAACTATATTTATACCTATTTATTTCTATACCTAGCTGCTGACCCAGCTATTGAAAATCCCCATTTCACTAGGTAAATCATCCATGAACGGACCATTTTCCATAGCTATGTTACTGTAAATTACCAACGGTTAAATCAATGTCTATCAATGTCTTGCAGTTTTCCCAGTTTTCCCCTACAATTTCAGCCACCAACTCCATCAGTTACCTGATCTCCCCATGCATCTGGGCAGCCAAAAACGCTGCAGTCTTACCACTGCCTGTCTGGGCAGTCACCATGACGTCACTGCCTTGGACTGCAAAAACTGCGAACATCACTGGTGGTCTCAACGTGTTTGAAGCTCCCTGAAAAATCGTGAAACATTGCACTCATTGGGGTTCGGATCATCATCACTTTTTTTGAAATTGAAATTGCTTGAAACCACCCGCCAGACAATATGTTCAACCGCGGAAAGCCAAATAAACACAATGACCAAGCCAATTTTGGAGAGTGATTGGTCTCTGATCGCATGATTACCTTGCAAAAGACATTGTCAAAAAACATTCAAATTTTGATCCACTGGAACCGAAGGCACCAACCAAAAAAAGAAACTGCCGCTGGGGGTCCCCGACCTTCCAGCACCGCAGGGATGCTGTACTTTTGCACTGGCGTTGGGATGTTGTAGCCACACCTTGAAGTGGAGCGTTGTAGCATTCTACGCCAAAGGACTAAGTTTCGAACCATTTATGGCATCCTTGCATATGCATACTAGCTGTTATCAATGAACCATACATATATCATTAATGGAAGTATTTCTGACCGGCAAGCAGCAAAATAGACAACTTCCCAAGCAGGTTTAATTTAGTTACAATCTTGGCATCCTCTGGGCGATTTTGAGGCAAGAAAACCTGGGAAACAAAATAAAATCACCCTACGAATCATGTAAAACAAAACCACCAAGACGCAGACTGTACATAACCCCAACATCCGAATCCTCATTTTCTGCCAAATTACTGCGCTTTAACCCCAGTCAATATACAATTGCTTCATGGCATCATCTACGTTGCTCAACCCCAGGTACAAGGGGTAAATTGCCATTGCATAACGGGATTCGCAGCCAATGGATTGGGTGGAGGGAACATTTACAGGAACCCCATATATTTCATGGGAAAAACATGGAAAAACCATGGGTTCATGTAGGTTTTCCCTGAAACCAATCCAATGAAACGACGGGTCACCTGTCCAAGTTGTCGGTCAGCTCCTGGGGCAACTCGTATCTCTCACCTGAGGCACAACTTCATATGAAAACGCTAGGAGAATGATGGATCATCATGGGTGCATTGTATTAGTGCTTTTTGGACCAAAAAAACAACATCAACTTTTGTATCTATATGTATTGTTGGTGTATGGATGGTTGGACTATGTTGGACTCCAAGCACCAAGTGCTCTCAATCTTAGCAAAGAGAGCTTGGACCAGTTGCTACCAGCTGAAACTTGTCAGAGGTTGCCCTGTACCAGACTTGAAGCCACCTGACAACTAATTAGTGATTAAACTTGGAACTATCAAGTGTAGAAATTGTGAGGTGGCGCTGATTTGTGTTGAGGCAAGGCAGCAGTGCTGGTGAAGAACTGAAGAACTGAGGCCAATGGCATCTACCACAAGCGATTGCAGCCATCAGAAATTGAAATTTGTCTGGGTTAATCACTCCCGGCAGGTGCCAAACACCTCATTCTTTGTGAGTCTTGCCCAGGGCAATGGACAAAAAGATAGAATTGTTGGGGTTGATTGTTGTTCAAACCCTTCATGGATTACAGTATATTGACATATATATATGCATGCATCCGTTCTAAAAATATGTATGCACATAAGGTGTCCCCCACCTTGAAAAAACTAACCGCTTGATGCCCCACTGTTTGGGTTGCAATTTGAAATTGGAAATCGCTTTGGCCGAGGCCATGTTGAACCTCAAGGCTAAGATTTAAATCTAGTGATTGTCAGTGTCATGGAACCTGGATATTGATATGCAAACTTAAAATATGCGTGTAGTCAAGATCTGCATACATATTCTGCATGTACATTTGTAAACCAAAGAAACTATACATATAACATATTGTACTATGCATACATGATTAACAACGATATACACACATATATATATATATACATATAATTAGACTGCAGATATAAACATATATATATATATATAAACATGCATATATATAAATATTTAAACACACATATATATATATACATATATATATATATTATATACATATATATATAAATATATATATATATATATAAATAAATATATATATATATCTATATCATCCATATATGTATAGTATATACATACAGATATGATATGCTTTTTCCTCCTAGCACTGGATCTTTCGCCAGGCGTCAAGCTTCCTGAAAGGACTTGATGGGGATTTCCCGGCCAGTGCCGCCTTCGGTGGTCACCTCAATGGGCGAGGTAGAAATCGACCAAATCATGGGCTTTTTTCAATGGGAAAATCATAGGAATCTATGGGGAAATGAACTAAATCGCCAAAGGCTATATATATATATATTTAGATAGATAGATAGATAGATAGATAGACAATTGTCATGCAAAAATGAAGATTCTTTCAACCCTCCAACTGAAAACATAGAAACACTGTGAACAAACAACTTAGAAAAAACAAAAAAACAACAACAACAACAACAGCAACAAGCATAGAAAGCATAGCACGCATGAAAAATACATCTTGTGTTTCACATGGTTGAACTGATCATGGCACACACACAAAAATTGAACGGTGTAAATCAATAAATTCCATGATGACACCTGGATGTGTTGATGCTCAAGCATGGGAGCCTGCATGGTATCAACAAATTGGTGTAACCTGTTGCCATCTGGTGCTGGCACCAACACGCAGCCACAAGCGTCGGATAACAGATTATCCCATTAGAATATCAAACAGCACCATTGGGTAAGTAATATTGGGTAGCCCCAGCAACGACATGCCAATGGTGAACACCCCTTGGGATGATTGGAGACTAGTGGCAACAAAAAATGCTGGTTGATAAATTTGGGAAACTTAAGCCAAGTACCTCAACGCATGTGTAGAAATAGCTGGAAAAATACCTGGAAGTCAAACATGGCGATGGATTCTTTCCATTTTTGATGTCTTCATGTCATCTTCCTTAAGTAAATCGATAAAGAACATGGCGAATCATTGCGATGGATGGATCCCCTTTTTTTTTAATGGGACGATGGCCACAGGCACCTCGATATTGTCGTACTTCGAAAAATTGATGCCCGCGACCACATGGTTCGCACCGAAGAGTCTCCTTTCTTGCATCTCCCAGTGTCGATCATCCTCGGCATCGATGGCCATTTTGCAGCCGATGGTGGGAGTTTTTCATGTTCACCCAACATCACAGAAAAGCCACGCATCGAGGCTTTGGTCCTTTGGCCGCCTTGAAGATTGCTTGTGTCAGTGCGGGTAGGGATGCTGATCCCATTTCACCCCGTAGATACTTAAAAAATCTCACGGATGTTGACCAAAACAAATCCCATATTTTCTCCAGATCAATGACATGAAAATTCACAAGAACAAATGACGTGATCCCACTGATTGACCAAAAAAACAGTCGATCATGACACTTTCTGTTTAAGGGAGGTGGGCATTGTCAACATGGTGATGAAAATCATGATGAAAGTGCTGTTCTGCATGGACAATGATGATGGTGATGATATCTGTTATCATATTGGATGATGTGTTTCATCATTATAAAACCGTCATGTGTATTGTCATCGCTCGGACATTATGTTTGTCATTGCCATTCTTATCATTGCTAGTATTGTTGCTATTGTTTGTCATGATGATGTTCAGTCCTTCGCACAGCCAAAGAAAGGATTTGAAAGTAAGAAAGAACCCTATTATACATATATATATATATATATTATATGTGCGTGTGTCTGCATGCGCGTTTAATTTAAAAAAACAAAATGGAATAATATTGACATAATATATATATATTTATAATATTTCCCCAACGACGAGAATCCATCTTCGGAGCGCCTATGTTCAGTAACCTCTGCTGATACTGAAAGAACTGCGCGGTTTCGCGCCGGCGCTTCATTTCAGTCCGCTCCTGATGGGGGAGTTGCTGATCGGAATGGATTTTGGGCTTCAACGACCTGCCTTCAAATACTGCCATGGTAAAATCTACCTTTTTTGGGGTTCGATCTCATCATCCTGAGCACCTTGAGGTCGTCACACAGAAATCCCAAGATCAATCTATTGAACTTCACCCTTCACAGGTCGCAATTAGATATACTTAAAAGTGGCTAATGCATAATCAAGGTCATCATGAAATGGACATACTTGGTCACATTAATTGTGTTAAATAATGGCTTTCATTCCACTTACAGGATCTCCCTTATGGCATTTCTATGTATTTTTCCGAGCATCTGCTTGTTCTTCGGCAGACATACTACGGCCATAGCCGCCGCCGCCATAGCCACCGTAGGGCCCCCGGCGCAGCCTCGTCCCGCGCCGCGCCACGGCCGCGCCCAGGGAGGCGCTGAGGAGACCCAGCACGCTGGCAGCGCTGGCGCCATGGGCCGAGGCAGGTGAAGACCTGGCGGAAATGATTGGAAAATCATGGGATGATGGGAAAATGATGGGTTTTCTCCCTAGGTTCCTAGATGCGGTACATCCACAACAAGTTCCAACAAATGGGCTGGGACATGCTGGGACATGTTCTGCGATTCCGATTTTCCGCAAGTTTCAAGATGAGAAATGTAACAAAGCCCGACTTACAGTGGTACAACAAGGGGATGACTCCACCAATTCTACCCAATTCTAACACCAAAATCTACCAAATATGCATGCTTCCGTTCCTAGTAATTACTTTGCTGTGACGGCCCCTTACTATCGGTTCAACTTTATTTACAACCTAATCTCACTGGTGAATCACGTCATACTTCATTTGAATAGGGATATTCTATGAGGGATGCCTTAAGGGGATACCCCCGTCAACATACCTCAGAATAATTATAATATTATTCCGGCACCCGTTGAGTTCAAAAAAATAAATTATTCTAAGAACTCATGAGTTCATATGGAAAAATGGAATAATTTCCATCAAAATGATACCGGTATAGTCTATTTCTAGCCAAACGCAAGTGATCGTAAGCAGCTGCGCGCAAACGGCCGAGAACGGTTTCCCTTCTTGCAGAGCTGGGGCACAAATTTAAACAATTTTCGACATACTCAGATAGGATCAAGAAGAGTCAGGATAGTATCTTTAAACAAATTTCCTCTCAGCAACCCACTGGCTGAACATGGTTTTAGTTTGTTTTGGGTGTTTGAAACTGGGCTAGTTTGGTGGTTCTGGCCTTAGTGGGAATGAGTGGGAAAAGCAAAATATTTGGTTGTCACTGGTTAATTTTTTTGCAAATTTCTGGATTTGTTTTGTGATTGTAGCAGCTGCCCCCTTTTGTTTTTCAGGGGTGCCAGGCATCTCCAATACCTCCAGAATAATTTCTCCCCTGGGGAAAGCCCGGAGAAAAAAAAACAACTTGGCTCTCTTCTAGAGGTTTTCCCAACTTTGCGTCCGCGCCCCTATTTCTTCCATATTCCCTTCATTTCCTTCCAAAAAACTCCCGTTGGCCATAGTGGGAATGGGTGGGAAATGTGTGGGGTTTCATTTGTTTTTTTGGCAATTCTTGCCAATTTCTGGGCTAATTTGGTGATTAGCTGTCCGCTTTCGTTTTTGAGGGGTACCAGGCATCTCCAATACCCCTAGAATAATTTCCCCCCTGGGGAAAGCCCACACAATGGCACTCAACCTGGCCTTTTCCTAGGTATTTTCCTAACATTCCCCATTCATTGCCACCCAAAGAGCTCTCGAGAGAAAGTACCGTGAGAGAAAGGTGGTCCGGTCGACACTAGTTGTGCGTGCAAGTATGCTGCAAAAAAAGGTTGGCAGCAATTGCCCAAACTGCATGATGCCTTAAATAACTGCAATTGGCATTTCCAGCAAAAAGTTTTCAGGCAAACACCGCCAAGCTAGGAATGGCTTTTGGAAAGGCCAGGCCAAACGTAGGAAGTATAGACTGCTTCAAGATGTTTTAAGTTACCAAAAATTATTCCAAAACCTAATTATTCCGGGGTATCTTGACGGGCTGGATCATGATTTTCAAATTCCAACATGCATAATCGTATACCTACCCCCCTCAAAAATTATTCCTTGAAAATTATTCCAAAAGAAATTATTCCATAACCTAGTTGATACCCTGGAATAATTTCTTAAGGCATGGGTCATGATATTCTGCCACACACACAGTATATATATACACACTTATACTTATACACCGTCTTAGCTCTTTTTTGTCATTAATGTCACTAACTTGACAAATCACGAAATCTATAATCAACTGTAACGTCTGGCCCTTAACTCTGTCCGAAAAGACACAGCTCAGGTTTGATAGTTGACACCAAGCTTCGCTCTCTGCGCCCCAGTGGGTAGTGCCGGGCTGCGCGCAAGCACCGGTGCCACAAAGGCTGGAGACAACTCCATGGCTGCAAGCTCGGCAGAAACAGCTACTGAGGTAACTGAAGCCAGAAAACGGGTGAAACTTGGGTTTCGCCCAAAATGGGGTTTATAGAATCAAAACACACACGCGCACACACACATACACATTACATATATATATATATATACATATTCATTTATGGAAGGAAATACACACATATATATATTATATATATTATAAATAAGATGTAGGTATTTTTACTTCACTCAAAAATTTGAAGACATGAGCCCAATCCATCAAAATCCGCGGTCTCCTTGGTCTCAATTCAATGAAGGACCAAGAGATTGTCACAACACTGTCCCGCCATCTGGAGCTTTGGCGGTTTCATGGTGATTGAACATGCTGCCAACTATAAACAGGATCGTAAGGTATGATCATTAGTAATTAACCAAAGCAGCTCATTGACATCGAAGGATCACACCTAGCCACAAAACAAAACAACATTGGTAACATTGGTGGCCTAAAAAGCTCGAAAATTAGGGTTGATAGTGATCAGCAAAAGCAAATAAAAATACAAATGATTGGGCAGCACCTTCCAGGGTTGCACACTCAAAGAATGCAATGATGGCTTCAAATCTGCAAATCCAAACTCAGTGATGTCAGGCTGTAGCAACTCAGCTTTTTCATCAGCTCGGGGGTGAATCACAAGGTGCCCTGAAACGGTCCACAGGGCTCTAAGGATGGAACAGGTTCAACGACCCGGCGAAAAGTTGGAGCAACATCAACTTAAATATCATTAACAAACTGCTAAACAGAAACTATGACTATAACATACTATAACGGACTCTCCATGACTCTTACATACTGTTCCTGTAACTATCAGCGTCTTAAGAGTAACATTTGTTTTCAACCAAGCAACAGTTCCCCCTGGTGGTCTCGATCCCATCAAAAGGCTACTGACGATGCAGGAAACCACCCACCGGATTACCCTCACTCAAACCTGACAATGGACCATTTCCCATTCTTCTTCTAGCATCTTATACTTCTAACATCTTCTAACAAACCGGGATTCAAAGCACAACATGTTACCAGGCTTGATCACCAGGGGGTAGTATGAGTAGCATCAAGCTCCTTGCTTTGACCCTGTCTTGGCCACTGACTGTCACTCAGAAATCACGACAGGTCTCTCAGCGCGGGATGGCAGGCACGGCTGCTCCCACAGGGGATGGCGGTACTCCGGGCGGCGGCAGCACCTAGGACTTTGAGGCCAGTGTCAGGTGTGTGCTGACGGGATTTCATGACAAAATACCGAATTTGGATGTCCCAAAGCATCTTAAAGCAAAGTACCAAGCAGGTTGGAAATGGCATGCACATTCACAAGCTATGGGCTTCTTGTTTATCATTATGCATTATACAAATGGTTCAACGGGACAAGTGCTACATTCTCTCTCTCTCTCTCTGAAACATGTGAAACCCGCGTTTCGACCAAAAAAACAAGTTACAACAAGTGTAGTTGGTGGGTTGCGGCAAAGTTCCTCCAATCCAAATTGCTGGCCAAAGCCTGGCCCTGTTCCAGTAGTTGTGGGGCAGGACCCT